GGCACAGAATCCACAAACCTCACTCTTACAGCCTTTATTAACACCTCAGTTTGGTAACCTATGGACTCAGGTAACCTCATTTCTAAATCTCATAAAGAGAAAGATACAAATAAGGTAATTTTCAGTTGAGATCTATAACAATCTCAAATCCTCAGTATTTGAAAAATTCACAATATATTATTAAATGCTAGAAACTATTTGGATTTACTTTCTTCCTGTATATTCATTCATGCATTTTATTTATTTACTTTTGGTGGGGTGGTAAAGTGCTAAGAGTGTTTCAGAAGTCCAATTTCATATTGTCTCTTGGGAAACTAGGACTGGGTGTGCAGATACACTGCCATCTGCTGGTCAATTTATCTCTAATGAAACTATAGCTTTCTTGAGAGCAGTATTGTCTAGAAGTTCTAGAAAGCAATGCCTTAGAATAGGAGAGGTACAGGAAATTTGGAGAGTCTTTTTCACAAGTACTTCATTTGACAACATTTACTGGTAATGTATCATGTTTTGAGGTTTTGAAAATAATATTTTAGTAATTTCTATTGAAAATTATAAAATTTTCAGAACAGTAGGTATTTTGGTCATTTTTAGTTCAAATTTAAGATCTTGATAAATGATAATAATGGAACCACCAAATTAATAAGACACATTAAATAGAATAAGAAAGTTAGTATCCATGTCTAAAAACATGTTTGAAATAAAACTGAATCTCTCTGAGACAGAAGAGCAAACTTATTTTTTTCCCATGGTACATCCATTTGTTTAGGGCTGAGTAATCCTTTAAGAATTGCTGAACTTCCCCCAAGTGCTAAAAACCTAATTCTTTTTTAAAAATAGCTCTAAGTAATCCTATCCTCATACATGTATTTTAAGTGTTTAACAAAAAAGATATTTATCTTCATAAACTGTAGTGATTTTTTGAGGCCCAAACTCAAATTAAGGATTTTTTTTTTTAAGTTTATATGCTTAATAACAATTTGAGAAACATTTTCAGAGTTCTGGGAAAAATAGTCCATAAGAATACACAATTTGGAAGCACAGGGACTGATTTTTACTTTTTAGATTTCAGTGAAGTGTTAATACTTCAAATATGTGAGAATAGGAAACTTTCTCTTCAAAAGTATAACCGTAGCTGTAAATGCAGTACAGTCATAGCAGCAGATGCAATAGAATCTCATTGTGAAACTCCATGAATTTTGAACTCAACTTCACCAAACCAGCTACAAAACTGAAATGGAATACATTGAAAATATATCTCAAGATGAAATGAAAATTCTAAGTGTTACTAAAGCTTCTGACTAATGTTCTGTGTGATAGAGATTCTTTTCCTTTGAAGTCAGCTGTTAATCTCAGCATTCAGAAGTAGTTTGTTTAAATACTGATTTAAAAAAGAAAAATAATTCTGGTAGACTTTCCTTATTTGTCTTTGTTTTGGTTGTTTACTCTTTCATTTTGCTCCTGTTTCTCCTAGGAAACTAGTTAATAGAACGAGTTTCTCAACCCAGACTAGCTGTTTCCACCATCACTAGCTTGGGCAAGTTACTTCTTTGTGCCTCCATATATTCTGTGAAATAAGTAATATCTACCTCACAGGTTTGTGTAACGATTAAGTGAGGAAATAACTTGTGTAGAATACTACCACAAGCATACAGTAGGCATCTAAAAAACAAAGATGTTAGCTGTTTTCATAGATCTCCTCCCAGAGCTCCTTCCCCATTTCTCTGTTTCTAACATCTCTCCTCTCAACGTCCCAGGCCCAACTCATGTGTTTCTCTTTATGGTTATATCAACCAGTATTAACACCTTGCAACAGCTTGCTATTACCTAATCAGATTTTACCCCATTTTAGTCATTTTTTAATATAACTGTTGATTTTCCATGTTGCTTTTAAAGAATGCTTTCAGCTTGTGTGTTTTAAGTTGGCAGATGTTTTATTTTCTTCCCAGAGAAGTTTCTGTTTGTTTGTTTGTTTTTTAGAGATGAGGTTTTACCATATTGGTCAGGCCGGTCTCGAACTCCTGACCTCAGGTGGTCCACCTGCCTAGGCCTCCCAAAGTGCTGGGTTTACAAATGTGAGCCACTGTGCCCAGCTGAAATTTCTGTTAAATGAGTTCTATTAGTTGTATTTAAAATTAAATAGAAAAGAATACCTATTTAGTTAATGTGGCAAAACTAAGCAATTTATAGTGGCCGAATACCTGTCGTCAAGTTATATCTTCTAGCACTGATTTTGAGATTAGTGGTTTGGGGGCCACTTAACTATATGCATGGTTCTTGTGGATGACCCAGTTGCAGCATGGTGTGTCTTGTTTTAGGTATCTGTACTGTGTTGATGTCACCCAAAGTTATTTACAAATTTTTGCTTATGACTGGTCCGTAAGATAAGTGCTTAAACACTTTCTTATGCCATTTATAGAAGACATGAGACAAAAAGTGTGGCAGCCAGCTATTTGATCTAGTAAACCTTTTAGTTAAAACAAAGGCTGTCAATTGTATATCTTTTTGTCCTGTCAATAGTATATCTTTATCTTTTTGTTTCTTCTCTGTATTATATATAATATGATATGTTAAAGTGCTGGGTCTTACATGAAAGTTTACTTGTGATTAAGAAAATCATTTTCACAGTGAATAGAATGGTGTTGTTCTTTGTTTTACTGGCTTAATCTGTGTGGGATTTCCCCCATAGTAGGTTCTGTGGTTGTGTAGCTCTTAAAATATATACTAACATGCTCTAGAAAAGAAGCAGTGTTTTTCATGTTTTATTATATTTGTATCTTGTATGTGAGGTCTTCTTTGAGAGAGAAACACATGTTTGGTGAGTTCATATTTCTTAAAATATACATGATTCTTCAGACTGCAATCTAATGAAATAGTACTCCCATTTGAAAACCAAAGAGTTAAGGCAAAACAGAGGATAAAAGTGATCAAATGATTAGCCAGGGGCTAACAGAAATTCTGGAAGGAATGACAGATATTATTGTTAGGAAGAAATAGGATCTCATATTCACTGACGCTTTCTACAGCTGCAGGTCCAAAAGAAATATTAGAAAATTACTGAAAGAGATGAATGTCTGAAACTTTAGAAATGCATGTGGTGTTGGATTAATCCAAACAAGAAAGAAAGATGGGCAGATAATAAATTACATTATATAGGAAAATGGTTTTCAAGGTATTTTCTCTCTCTCTCTCTCCCTCTCACTCTCCCCCTCCCTCCTTCCCTCCCCCTCTCCCTCCCTTCCTCCCTCTCTCCTCTCTCTCTCTCTCTTTCTCTCTTTCTCGATATATTTAAGTACGTCTAGGCCAGTTTCAGAAAATTCAATTCATGATTTTCATCATTGCTCCCTATGTGTGGAGTTCTTTGGAATCAGTAAAATAATATAAAAACTCCAAATTCTTGCGTGGAGGAGGTTAATCTAAACCTTCCTTCTGTTCTGTGCCAAATTGATAGCATTTCTCCTTATGAGAATATGGACAGTACAGAACACATTTTCACATGCAATCAGTTGTAATACCCCATAACTAAAAGAGTTTGCAGAAATGTCTCAGTGGGTTTTATTCAACAGCTATACTTCTTCTAGGGAAAAGAAATCATCGTAAACTGAAAAAATATGTGTATGTATATTTTCATCACAGAGAAGTGATTATTTAACTGTTCTAAATTTTACTTTGCCATAAATACATGTCATTTTACTAAAAAACAAATGAGAGCATGTGTATGTTTGTGTATATAGTATTCTCTCTCTCCATACAAATGTACACACAAACTAGTATGTATCCTTTTTTTTTTTCCTGAAGTTAAATGGTTGCATAATGCTATAATCATGAAGTTCAGCTCCTTTCAAATAATGATGATTGAGAAATACATTCTTCTTAAACTATTTGAGCCTTTTAATTAATTTTTCCTCAGATTTTTGCCATTGAAACTTGGCATTCATTTTTGTTCTTAGTTTTTTTTGGTAAGTTTTGTAAGGAGAAAGTGAAATGTTTCCTGAAATATAAATAAGTAATAAAATTAATGTGCACACAAAGTACACTCTTTATTCTTCATGGACATTTTCTTTTTGGCCCATACACACACACAATCTCTCGGGGGGAAAGAGAATCTTACTCTGTTAAACTAAAGTTCTGACTCCAAATCATCTGAGTTTCTATATATTTAAGTATTTAGGCTTAAACTCAAGTATTTGCATATGAATTAGTTCTGTATTCTGTAACCATATTAAAACTTTTTCTAGTATTTGATGGAAGGTTTATAGAATTTGGTTTTTATATCTACATCAGAATTAGGATAATTATTAAAGTCCTGTAAAAGCTAGTTATTTCTTGGACTCTTAGATTAAATGTGAGAAATAATGCTAGCTTCAGGTTATGATTGCGTAATACAGATGAGCCCTGTTAATAAAATGGAATAAAAGTTGGAAATTTTGTCTTTTTAATATGCTTAATGGTTTCCACCAAACCTTCTGTAATCTTTTTAGAGAATATGTAATTCATTATATATTCTTTTTTGTCCTATAATTGCATGTGTTCATAAAGTGGGGCTGGGTAGTAGAGAGAGGGAAAGAAAGGGTCAGAGGGAATGAGACTTCTCTGTTGTGGTGAGGCATCTTTCTCTAATAAGAAGGAACAGATAATCAAGTTACTAGCCATACCCATTAAACTTCTATGTCTATGTCAGTTGTTGCTAAACTAACCTCTAATGCCTTAGATGGGGTGATAACATATAAGAGAGTTTTTGTAAAACTTCGTACAAAATTTCATTTAAAAGTAGCCTGTAATCAAGACCCTTTCTCTTACTAAATAGTTTGCCTTGGACTTGAAATGTAAACAGAAGATACTTAATGAACTTAACAATTACTCTTCTCTACAGTTACTTTATGTAAGTTAATCTTTCATACGTTGTCATAACTCTAATGAACATCTGTGTTCCTAGGTGGATTATTCTTTAAACAGTTTAAACTCATAGAATTCTAATAGGAACACTTTTTATTCTTTTGCAGCTATGTCATCTTATCTTTTAATTATTAAAACAGAGCTTCCTGCTGCTATTGCAGAATTTTTGACTGGAGACTCTAATAGGTAAGAAAAAATATTTTACATTTTGTCCATTCATTTATTAATTCAAAAAAATATTTATTAAGCTTTAGTGGCAAGCAAAATAAATGTAGTCCTTACCCTCAAATTCTTAAAAATTAGACAGAAGTGAAGCAGTAATAGAATAGAAAAACTACTCAACCAATGTTTATTGATTACCCATATGAAAGCGCTGTTCTGTGGATCACCTGAAGCACCGGTTATAATCCTTGCATTCCTTGTGGGCTAAGGCAGGTCTGAGATTGAGATGCTCTTGAGGAGGTGTCAAGGATAAATTTCTGGGGATATGCAAGACGGGTTGGGGATGGGAGAAGGTTGAATATACTGACAGTACAGATCTTAAACAAAGGAGGGGAGTGAATGATATTGCTGTCATTTCTCAGCAAATCGTAGTGACAAAAAATTGTGGCAGTTACAACTATACCTGTGTGAGATTCCTATAATATTGCATGGCAAAAAAATAAATTATTTTAAAGGACTTAATTGTTTCATTTCCTGTTTTAGAACAATATTATAAACAATACTAAACCACATTGTATCTCTTTTATTCTTCATTATTTAAAAAATGCATCTTACATTTGACTCATCTCTTTATAGGGAAAAAACAAAATTAATTGTGCTTTTCTTTTCACTATGTAGAACAGGAACATTTTAGAAAAATGAACTTGAAAAGACAGGATAAATCATTTTAATTGCCATAGAGTTATTTCACATAATTGAGTTTCAAACCACAACACAAAACCTGCCAGACTTTTAGATTTGAATATTGGGTTGTTCTGCTTCAATAATCGAACTTGTTCTGGAATGCAAGGAAAGGCTTCAAAAATTAATTTTTAGCTTTGGCAATTCAGCTTCCATTAAATAATTCTTCTTAGACAACTACAAATACATATTTGTAAGAAAAGTTTAGATCTTAATAGAAACCATCAAGAAAATGTAGTTGAAAAGAGATAAGTAGAAGTCCTAAATAATTTTTCTTCATCAGAAGATATTGTTCCTTTGTATGATACTTTACAGTTAATGAGGTTTCCACATTCATTATCATATCTGATACTCAAAACTACCTTATCTGCAGCTTTATCTAGTCACATTGTGATTTTATGCTTAGTTTGATAAACAATTCCTATAAAAAATAGCTATGTGAAATTAATTTTTGTATTTGCTGTAAAAAATACAGAGGGCACCTTCTATTACTCAAATTATATGTGAGAAATTTATATTTTAGGGTTAAGAACTCAAGGCAATATGAGGTAGAATAAAGAGTGCTAGACTAAGAAAAAGGTGATGTATATTCTATCCATTTCAATATTCAATAGTCTCAGGAACTTAATTTAACTTATTTTGACTATGTAACTTACTTTGAGCCTTAGGTTTTTTATGTGGTATAAAGGGGGTGCCAATATTGCCTTCTTAATAAAGTTGCTGGGATGATCAAATAAGATATCTAGACACATAGCATATGTATAAACAAGCATATGTGTACACAAACTTATAGCACAGTATAAATGTGGACAATTAAGAAATTCTAATAATTACTATATTAAAGGTAGTGTTTTCCTTTTTGCCCTGACTGCTGGGAAGCTCAGAGTCAAATGGACACATTTGAATTAATATATCTGTGTTAATTCCAATAGTTGTCACTTGTGTTTTCTTTTTTCTTGGACCTGAATTTGGTGGCTTCTATTTGAATTATTTCATTGTAGTATGTCTGTGGGAAGCGGAGGGATTATAAATACATGTAATATTTTAGAAATAATTAAAGTAGTATGTGGCAGAATTGGTATTGAAACTTAGGTCTTCTTTCTCTAAAAGTGATATTTTTACCATAGCTTTATTTTAAATGATTAGCAAATGATTTACATTGTTGCATTGATTTTTTGTTTTTTTAAATAAAAATTAAAATGAACTTCCTTTTCACTCACATTAATAGAAAATTGATTAAAATATTATTTTTCCATGTTAGAAATAGATTTTTTAAATCATATACTTCAAAATAATGTGGTCAGTTTGCATCATCTCTGTTATGATGTTTTAAAATTGTCATTTTTTTAGCCTTATCTTAAGTGTAATATATTTTCATTTATTTTGGCTAATTATATTAACTGATTTGAATGCTGATAAATCATTAGTCTTGAAAGCTTGATGCTGTAAAATAACTAAGAAACAAATATTATGATACTTGACTTTTACTGTCTATAAAGAACAATTTTTTTCTAGATAGACTTACATAGCAGTATTTCTTCTATGAGATCAACATGATATTGCTATGTTTTTATTTTAGGGTTTGATTTACAATAAATTTTAGTTAAGATCTTTCAGATGTGCTAATTTTCTGGGTTATCTGTTAGCTTGATGTACCTTTGAAATACAAACCTTTATAAAGATATTATAAAAAAAACTGTGCATAATATTCTCATTTCAAAAATACTGTTAGAAGTCAGAAGCTATAATACTTAATACTGAACTTTCTTGATATATCTATATTTCATAGAATAACTTACATTTTTAAAATCTATGGCTGTTAAAGTTGGAAGCTCTCTGTTAACATTTAATGATCTTGTCAGGGGAATATGATTGACACAATTAAGTTGTCTTGCATTTTAGTTACATAATTGATATGGGATGTGAGTAAGATCCTAATTCAGAACATATGATACTCTTGTTCCATTCCTTTCGAGAATGAAATTAAAGCGACTTATAAATAAATCTGGTTTTCATTAAAATTTGGAAAAAAACATCTGCATGCCAAAGCATTTGCAATACAGCTAAGGATTTATACTCTATATTTCATACTTGGAACATTTTTATCATACAGGATTAAATCCACAGATCAAACAAGTTCTCTAGGAAGTATAAAGGTTTTTACTCTAATTCTTTTGGCTTAAAGAGAATGTATATTTAGATCACAGTAGGAAAATAGGAGTTCTGTTCGATAATTCTTTATTCTCCCCTTAGGAAAACATTAAAGTTAGTACATTCTTCTAAAATACTTATTTACAAAAGAAATGTATTTAATATATACTTCTTGAGATTTCTTTTTACTAGTTTGTATTTCTCAGACAGCAGTTTTATTTTGTAAGTTTAATAATTTCTGTTCTTTGGAAAATATCCATTCCCAAACACAATTCATTGGTCTGTGACACACACGTGAAATCTAAACTAATTATACTGTGTGTTACGGTGTTGCCTTTATTGTTAATGAATGGTAAAGAAAAGCACTGTATTTACAATTGGCTTTATTAAGATGAATTATTAAGGATAAGAAATGATTAACAATAACCAGTAGCCATGCCAAGGATACAGAAATTACATTTTACAGTAAAATTCTTTTTATATTAAGAATTTAAAGTTCAATCCTATGAAAAGGAGAATGCAAAGCATGATCTTGAAATAAATGAGGTAGTATCTGAAAGTATTTCCTTTCCCACTGACACTAAGATCATCATCATCCATTTGCTGATTTTACAGACATATAAAATGAAGCTCTTGAGTCAAATGATCTCTAAGGTCTCTTCCAGCTCTAACATTCCATAACTGTGATTCTGAGTTACTGCTGGGAGGAGGTAAAGTTATCTTCAGGCCCACAGTTCAGTGCTTTGGTCAGTTGTATGACTTCTTTGGACATAAATGAACTGTGATCTGAAATAGTATAAAGTAACTGGTGTTCAGAATTTCAAAAAGTGTTCCTTTATTCTTATGCAAGAGTAAAGAGTCCTGGTCCTGGGGATTAAATGGTCCCTTTTGTACAGCCTTAGCTTCGTGACATTTTTTTTTTCTTTTAAAGAGTGAAATTGGCTTATAATAATTTTTTATTTCATTATGGTAAGAACACTTCACATGAAATCTGCACTCTCAACAGGTGTCTAAGTTTATAATACAGTATTGTTATCTATGAGGGACAGCAAAACTAACAGATGGAATCTACTTTGGTGCTTCTTTGGGCATTTTTCCTCCTGGCACTGCAACGGTCTGGGTCTAATATTGGGTCCCAGAAGGGAAGAGATTTCAGACATAGAGCCCTGGGCCTTTTGCCAGCTTCAGAAATTTGGTTGCCAGGTGTTCCTCAATGAAAGATCTTTTGAAGTTCCTGTTTTGATTCTTACCCAAGAGTGACTAGAAGATAAACATGTTGAGTATCATTTTTGTATTATTAATATGTGTATTCTTTTAGTACTTCCTACATACCAGAAATTGAGGAGCGTATGCAAATGCAGAGAGCAAAGCTTCCCACTAACACTACAAATACTTATGCATAGGTTATAGTTTCTAGCATCTTCATTTCCTAATGACACAAATTAGGGTGGGGAAGGGAAAAGTGTCATCATGGTGCTGCTTCTGCTGCTGCTCCTTCTCTTGTTTGGTTAAAGAGAAAGTTGCCAGCACCCAATAATAACAATTAAAGATACAATGTCGAGTACTCCCTCATAAACCAAGGTGTAAAAGAACTTCAGTGAATCATAAAGTTTATATTAGAAGCCATGGATTGAAATCCATATAAAGGAAGACCTTTGCTTAATTTAACATGGTAGTGGGAGACTGGCTATCTGGTAGAGAATGAAAAAGGATGCATTATTGCAAAGTGGGAATTTTGAGATTATCTACCAAACAATTTGAAAAAGTCCTTGTTGGTCTTTGATGCCCCAAGCTCCCATTTTTGCATACCTTTTACTGTGTTGCTATTGTGCATGTGTATGTATGTATTTTCACACTTTAATGTAAAAATCTGACAGCTATGTTAAAGAAAATTTAGAAAAGAAAGCAAAGAAAAATCATGCATAACATCTGTAACCTAGTCACTGTCCTTTTAATTCTTTTTAATTTTTCCAAAAAGCTTTGAAAAATATAGTAAATAATCATATTTATATCATCATTTTCCCTTTGATTCTATTGTGTCTTTTCTTAAAGCCATGTAACATTCCATTGAGTATGCGGTTCTAAATATTTTCAAATGTTGGGTATATAGAACATATAGAGTTTTCCTTTAGCTTCTTAATATTACAATAATGTATCCAGCAGCTTCATGTACATAGACTTTTCTCTATTTTCTTAGAGAAGATTGCCACTACACTTTTATTGCCCCTGTAACATATAATCATTGTTTTTCCAAGAGGTAGTACTAATTGGCAACATCACTAGCAATATATATATATATATATATATATATATATATATATATATATATAAAGTCCAGTTGTGTCACATCCTTGAATATTTTTGTTTGCTAATTTTGCGAGATTAATAGCAGCAATCTCATTTTTTTTAATTAGCACTGGTGATTGAATTTTCTTCTTGTGTATTTACTAGTTGTATTTCTTTTCTTTCATGAATTGTTTCTCTTTTACATACAAATCTATTAAGGTCTTGGGGAATTTAACTTTTGAAAATGTCTCCATATTTATCTCACATTGAAAAATTGAAACCATATATATGCAAACAAGGAGAAAATAAAAATTGCTTATATTGCTATCACATAAAAATACCTACTTTTTGATACTTTAAATATATCCTTCTGGCTTTATATGTGTATCCAGTTTTGTTTTTTTCAATGAACAAATACAGAATCACTGTTAGCCTACCTTTTTCTCATTCTGTATTCTAATGCTTTTATATGAAAATTTTAATATTTTACAATTGGTAATTCATACCCTTTCCTGAAATTTGGAAAAATGTATATAGAAAACTATAAAGAAGAAAAGTGACCCATTATTTTACTACCCAGAGATAATGACTATCAATATATTTTAGTTCCTTTCCATTTTAAATGCATCTGTTTTTCCTTAAAATTATCATGCTATACACACACATATGATTTTACTGAATATTCAGTATGTTGTTATTTCAAAATTATCATGGTCTTGGATGTTTGTTTTTAATTTTTATAATTTTAACGGTTTTCAGTAAACAACTTTTTATAAAAGTCTTTGTTCTTTGGGAACAGAAAACCAAACACCGTATGTTCTCACCTGTAAGTGGGAGTTGAACAATGAGAACACATGGACAGTGGGAGGGGAACATCACACACGAGGGCCTGTTGGGGTCTGGAGGCAAGGGGAAGGAGAGCATTAGGACAAATACCTAATACATGTGGGGCTTAAAACCTAGATCACGGGTTGATAGGTGTGGCAAACCAACATGGCAGATGTATACCTACCTACGTTAACAACCTGTACGTTCTGTACATGTACCCCAGAACTTAAAATAAAATTTTTAAAACTCTTTCTTCTTATTGTTTATTTTTAATAATCTTTTATAAGTGTTAAAAGACATAATTGTTTGAAAATTCTTTATATCTATTGCCAAATTGCTTTCCAGATAGGTAATTTATATAGTTTGCATTTTCACCAGCTTTTTGCATACCTCATCACTCCTCACTAGTGTTAACTATTATTTTATTTTTAAATGTTTATTAAGTTGGTAGTTGGAAATGGCATCTCTTTGTTTTTATACATTTCTAAATGTAAATTCATTAATAAGAATAATAGGATCCCACAAGAACATTTTAATGAAAGGAAGTGGACTTTTCCTAATGGCTGGTTGTAGTGGTTATTTGAATGTGTGTGTGTGTGTGTGTGTGTGTACAAACACTGGAGTCCCATGACTAAAATAGAACTTTTTTCTAATAGATATTGGTATCTTGATGGACAAACACTACTAATAATCGTATGTGTTGGCATTGTGTTCCCTCTTGCACTTCTTCCCAAAATAGGTAAGTCTTTATAGAAGAGCACATGATTTGTTTGGGAAAAGGAAAGAAGGGAGGGAGGGAAAGAGAGAAATATTAAGGGGCTTTAAAATTTCACAGTACCACATTTTTGGCAGAAGGATGGTGGTTGTGAATAATTTTAAACTTGGTCTTATTTTGGGTTGTTCAGCCTTCAGGCCTGCCTAGTTAACCTATTACTTGCTTTGCAGTAGGATTTTGTCTGCCCCACTAAAATAAAATCTTTACAGCGGAACATTAAAGAGCAGCCTTTCCTTACAGTGTACCATTAGTGGTAAGCCAGTTCCAATTCTGCTGTACAGAGCTGCATAAATGATCTGTGACAGATAGTTGGAATGTTGTTATTCTGAGCCCTAAGCCCCAGATACCAAGCACTGTAATAGGAAACATGCCCAAGATGTATAGCTTTAGTTGTACGTTAAGATCACTTTCCTTATAAATTGCTTTTTATTTTACTGTTATTTTACAGGCTTCCTTGGCTACACAAGTAGTTTATCATTTTTTTTTATGTTGTTCTTTGCTCTTGTGGTAAGTTTAAAATATAATGCACCGCTTATCTCCTCACTAAAATTGGACTCATTGTGTTAATGTCTTTTTTACTTTTAGCTGTTTTGTGTTGGGAAGGGTGCCTCATTTTATTTCATTGTGTTATTAAAAGCACTTTTGTTCCATAAAATTATTTCCTTCATTGTATCTATTTTGAAGAGGCTTAACTTAGCTAGCACAGCATTTCAAATTCAGTATTTCTTGTGGTTAACTAGCGAGAAGAGCATGCCAATTCTGTTAAAATCTTAGATGGAGTGTAATTCTTTGTGTAGGTGTATAAACTTATTTCTGTACAATATTGTATGAAGAATCAGTCTGGCTCTAGTCTGTAAAATCTATTTGATACTAGTCATCTTAATTTTGAAACTTTTTTCCGTTAATGAAAAACACAGCTTCTGGGACTACATTGAAGAGATCTAGTAAGAACTGAGTTGCCTATATTCCTGTTTTGTCTGGTCTATTCAGCATAGATAAATTCTCATAAAAACACTACTACAAATAAATATTTATCTTCACATGTGGTCTATATTTCCTATTTTTTAATGAGCTCATTTTTATTATAATGTATAAAAAGTCAGATGGTAAATTTAACTTACTTTGATATTTTTAAATACTTTAATATAAAGATAGAAGAGAATTTAAATTTATTTCCTTCTAATCCTTCTAAAACATCTTAACATTCTAAAGATAGTAGCATTGTGTTAAATTTTTAAGTCCTTTTTCTTTGTTTAGCAGTTTATTCCATAATCAGTATCTAAATGTCAAACCTTAAGTAGAATTAAGCATTTTTAACTTTCCAAGAATACACATGTCCAGATGGGTTTTTCATAGGCTTGATTCAACTCTTTCTTGTTACTGAGAATGCATGAAAGAAAATAGCCATGTGTAAGAACAGGAGAGCACATCAGTAGTTAAGCCATGTTATAGAGCCAGATTTTAAAGCTGTCAAAACAACCTACGGTGCATTTAACTTAGGCTAAGCTATCTTCTGAGACAGAGGGATAAAATAACTTTAAATTATTTAAACAAAGTGGAAGTGACCCTGATTTTAGTGTATGTAAGCATTTATCCTCTATTGAATGCTCTTAAAACTAAAAACATTTAACAGTGTTTGCATTTAATCATTTGTTCAATTTAACAACATTAAAATCATTCCTCCTCTTCTCTCCCCACTTGTCTGACTTATATCTTACAAATAAGTGAATTGAACATACACTTTGTAGGCTCCATATTGAAGAGAAAAAAACTAAATATTTTCATCATAATTTGATTGTCGAGAAGCATGGTTAGAAGTGGTCTACATATGCAAATGAATGTATGGATATTAAAGAGGATCAGTGTAGATAACATATTGAATTTTTCTCTCAAAGATAATTGGCAATGCAATCATTGCATAGGTAGGAGTAATTTGGTTTTCATAGCCAATAGCTTAATGCAGGTGAAATGTATTGATATGATATGTCTACTGTAGTTTTGTTTCTGTCATGGCATATACTCTTTAATAAAATGCAGATTTCTACTGTAGCAGTCATGTGGAAATGATACCCATATTCTACATTTATTGTAATGCCTTAAAAACCATCTACTCAGATTTTTACCTGTGAGCACAGTTTAAATTTAATCTAAAATGGGGCAATGAAGGACACTCTGTACACTTTCTTTTTAATGCTCTTTTTAATTGGCATATTTATTTTATTTTATTATAATTTTATTTTTTGAAACAGAGTTTCACTTTGTCACCCGGCCTGGAGTGCAGGGGCGCAATCTCAGTTCACTGCAACCTCCACCTCCCCTGTTCAAGCAATTCTCCTGACTCAGCCTCCCAAGTAGCAGGGATTACAGGTGCCAGCTAATGTTTTTGTTTGTTTTTGCATTTTTAGTAGAGATGGGTTTCACCATGTTGGCCGGGCAGGTCTCAAACTCCTGACCTCAAGTGATCTACCCACCTTGGCCTCCCAGAGTGCTGAGCCACTGCGCCCAGCCACCATATTTATTTTAGATTCTCTGAGTGTTAGGTTTTGAAACACATATTGGTTAGGAAAAGGAAATGTATATATATTAACCCAGAATTTTGGAAGAATATCAATTTTTTATTTATTATTTTTGTTAATATGTGTTTGTAATTATTTATAATATTTATATCACATTTTTTAAAAATCAGTTTCGAAATGATTATTTCCTTATACTCTTTGAAAAATAAATATAAATTAAAATCTGTATTTTATCTGTTCTCCCAGATCTGTATTTTCATTTAAAAAATTTAACCTAAATTTTTGCCCCCTCTTAAATACTTTACAATTTTAAAAATATTTTATCAGTGTCTCAGAATGATAGCAAAAAGATGGATTTATCTTTTTTGGAGAATTTACTTCTTCTGGTCCATTTTAGAACACAGATTGCCATTCTTTCTTAAAGTTCAATCTTAAGTACAGATTAGTATTCTAAGCAACACTGTAGTAAGTTAGTAATCCAATTAGACAACTTTTTTGAGAGACAGAGTCTTACTCTCTCCAGTCATCCAGACTGGAGTGCAGTGGCATGATCATAGCTCACTGCAGTGTCAGACTCCTGTACCTAAGTGATTCTCCTGCCTCAGCTTCCTGAGCAACTAAAACTATAGCCACATGCCACCACACCTCGCTAATTTTAAAAAATATGTTTGTAGAGACAGAGTCTCATTATGTTGCCCAGGCTAGTCTTGAACTCCGGTATCCAAGTGATCCTCCCACATTGGTCTCCCAAAGTGCTCGGGATTTATAGGCGTGAGCCACTGCGCTGGCCCAAAATAGAGAATTATTTAAATGGATTTTAGTCAGAAGTTGTCCTTCTACTCAACACTACATTAGGCATTATAGGATGTAGGAATTTAACCTGGACACTAGTGTTAAGGATCTGTCAGTCTAGTACAGGAGATAAGATTGATTTCTTAGCCAGGAGTGGTTGCACGTTCCTGTAATCCCACCTACTCGGGAGGCTGACGCAGGAGAATCGCTTGAACCCGGAAGGCAGAGGTTGCGGTGGGCTGAAATTAAGCCATTGCATTCCAGTTTGGGCGATAGGGTAAGACTCTGTCTCAAAAAAAAGAGATTAATTTTTTTTCAAACATGGAGACCAATGTGTGCAATATAATTAAGTATTGGTATATTTGCTTCAGAATAAGAGTCTCAAGAGTTGAGAGAAGGCTTACTGAGAGCTAGAGTTTTAAAGGAAATAAAACTTGAGCAAAGGGCTTAGAGCAGAGAGAACGGAGGCCTTTTGTGCAAGTGAACAAATGTTTTTAATACTTAATCTCGTTTTTCCCTTTGTCTTTCCAACCCCAAGACTTATTTTTTTACCAGCCTGAGCAAGGCTGGTAAATCTTCCTGCTAATCTTTCCTCTTTGTTGTTGGGTCTCATTTCACTTCTGTTCTATACTTATACTTTGTGAGACATTATTTCTGTCCACTCCATATCACCATGCAGGCTTGTAGTTGGGATGGATCTTTGCAGAGAAATTAGCTGTAGTAACTGAATTGTCTATTAATATAAAATCAGGCTGCTGGCCGGGCGCGGTGGCTCAAGCCTGTAATCCCAGCACTTTGGGAGGCCGAGGTGGGTGGATCACGAGGTCAAGAGATCGAGACCATCCTGGTCAACATGGTGAAACCCCGTCTCTACTAAAATTACAAAAAATTAGCTGGGCATGGTGGCGTGTGCCTGTAATCCCAGCTACTCAGGAGGCTGAGGCAGGAGAATTGCCTGAACCCAGGAGGCGGAGGTTGCGGTGAGCCGAGATCGCGCCATTGCACTCCAGCCTGGGTAACAAGAGCGAAACTCCATCTCAAAAAAAAAAAAAAAAAAAAAAAAAAAAAAAAAATCAGGCTGCTATTTATTTTTTTTAATTAATAAAAATGATTATATTGCATTTTGGAGCATTGCTTTGAAATATTTTGATTTGAAAGCTTAAGAAATAACAACTGATAAATAAGGTAGCTCACATACAGAGTTTATCAGGGTACCTGGTGCACAGGAAGTGCTCAGTAAATGGTTGTTTCTGCCAACACTACCACTGTTAATAAGGGGAAAATATAAGAAACTAAATTTGGGCCGGCACATTGGCTGATGCCTGTAATCCCAGCACTTTGAGAGGGTGAGGCAGGCAGATCACTAGAGCCCAGGAGTTTGAGACCAGCCTGGGCAACATAGCGAAACCTCACCTCTACAAAAACCACAAAAATTAGCTGGATGTGATGCTCACATGCCTGTAGTCCCAGCTGCTTGGGAGGCTGAGGTGGAAGGATGGTTTGAGTCTGGGATGTGGAGGCTGCAGTGAGCCGAGATTGTGTTACTGCACTCCAGGCTGGGTGACAGAGTGAGACCCTGTCTAAAAAAACAAGAAACTGAATTTGGAGCAGTTTTAGTGTGGTTGAAGAGAGACCTTATAACAACCTTACTTCTCTAGCTTCTCCCTTACCCCATCCTCATGGGTTTTTTTTTTAAAAAACCTATCAAGAAAATGATGGTGAGATTATTGCTTTTGATTTTGTTATTTCCTTTTGATAAGTTAACCATTTCATTTTATGTCATATTGAAAACTTAAGAAATGTCAAAGCAACTTGTCCGGTTTATATAATAATTTTTTTCTTGGTGAGTTTTTTAATTAAGAGTGATTATTTAGTTCACTCATTAACTTAATCCTAAAAGTATACAATTTCCTTAGATTTGTTTTATCAGTGTATAAAATTTTGATTGAATTAGTCAAAATCCAAAACTAGATAAATACCAAGTAGGAATAGAAATGGTGTTTACGTATTCATCTCCTACAAAGGACAAATTCTTTATTCTTTCTTGCCCCTGTGTGCACTGGGACTAAGCCTGGAGCAAACATTTACAGAGTAATTATGTGCCCTGAAACAACAGCAACAATGGTCATATTGACAGAGTCTCAACTATAGGTCTAAGAACAGGATGGCCACAATTAAGAGTAAAAACCGGAAACATTTTCATGGATTAATTCTGGGAAACAGCACCCCTACGATTTCTTTTAATGTTTTTTGTTTAAATTTATTTTTACTAGCTGGAGTTCCCTAGCTATATGCTCTTATTCCAGCCAGCTTTCTCTACATTCACCAAAAATAATACAAATCTGTAAAAGTAAGGAGGGCAGCACTTAATACATACATCAGAAATCCCTGAGCTTCTCCTGTATATAGCGTCTCTACTTATTTCTTCCTATGGCATTTCCGTAAACTGCTATTAAATGTTTCTCTAGTCACTACTGATACCTGCTCCGCAAATAACCGTATTCCTGTATGACTGTCACCGAAAACAAGGTGTTCCTATTTTAAGTTGCACTTAAAAAAAAAAGCCTTGATGCTGTTGGAATTTTGAATGTTGACACAGAGTACCCTTAGTCTTTAATGTGGAAGATCTCTAACACCTTGTGGTCCCCAACCCCCTCCCTATCACAGGTGATCATGTTAAATGTTGACCCCATTCTAACTAGGAAAAGTCATAGAAGCAGAGACTCTTCTGTTAGCATCATATTTGATATGGTATTAGATTAATTGAAATGATATTGACCTATTTAAATTCATTTTTTTTTAGTCTTATAAGAAATGATCTGAGTGCTGATTCTGTTTACTTTTTTAGGTAATAATTAAAAAATGGTCCATCCCTTGTCCTCTGACATTAAATTATGTAGAGAAATGCTTCCAGGTAATAGCTTATATTTTCTTTTCAGTTTCTTCCTTTTTATTTCAAACTAAAAAGAAAAGAAAGACTATTGATTCTTTTCAGATTAATGAAAAAGTAATGGCTATATTGCATTTTAGAACTTTGTTTTGAAATATTTTGATTTGAAAGCCTAGTAATAATAAATTCATCATTTTTATTGATATATTTGAAATTTAATGGCTGTTGGTTTCTCTTTTTCCCCTCAATACTCTTAAACAGATTTCAAATGCTACAGATGATTGTAAACCAAAGCTCTTTCATTTCTCCAAAGAGGTGTGTAAGTTATTAACAGATACTTTTAGTTGATTTTTTCACATTTCAAGTTTTAAGAGGTTTGTGTAACAGGGTCTCTTAGGTCTTTGTACCTGTAACTAATTAATTTTCATGAAAGTGCTAAGTATAGGATTGCCTACCAGAAGAATACTATTATTTAACACAGGGTGGCCCATTATGAAACAGCCACCTTTTTTTTTTTCCTGGCATGCCTTTAAATGGAGCCTGTTTTAAATGGGCCTCTGCCTAAAAGAACAGATTTACCGAATGTCTGGTCTGGCCAATAAGGTCCTCTGTGGATACAGACTTCCTGTTGCCCTCTGGACTTGTAAAGCTAAATAGCCAATTATATCAAAAACTCTTCCCCTGTGAGTAGAACCTTAGTCTGTAGCTAAACAGCCTCATCATTGGACTAGTGATTGAGCACTGCAAATATATATTCTGGCCAACATTCCAAAGTTGAAATTTATGATGCCAGGAGTAGAGACTAGAGGACCAAATCTTTTTGCCTTCTCTACAAGCCATAGGATACTGGAAATGCCTGTAAGAGTCCCTGAGCATCAGCAGAGGAGACAAGAACTGTGACCTGGATGGTCTCTGCTTTACCCTTCTAGAAGAGCTCAGTCTTCCCTGTTGCTACAGGTTTCTTCGTCTACACTTTCTGACTCTGCTGAAATGCTGTTTTGCATAGGTCCCAGATGATAGAGTTCCCTCTGCTCATGTACAACTCTATTAGTGTAGAATGTTAGTTTGGTTACTCCTCCATGTGGAATTTTCCTTTTTATCTCTAGTTTTTGAAGGAGAAATATCTGTCTGGCCCCAGAAGGGAGATTACCACATTTTTTACATGGTAAAGACCTCCAGATGCCTTAAAGATCTAGGTACGATAATTGACAAGCCAGGAAATTGAGCAAAATATGAAATAGAGAATTTGTGAATTAAATTCTTATTACCCTAATTCAGCCTCAGGAAACACTACAGCTTCCTTTCTCCTAATATTCCTCAGATATATTAAGACTCTAGGCTTTATGTCCCAAGACAGGTCTTCATTTCTGGAATTTCTTTTAAGAGCCTAAAAGTTAAGTGGAAATTTTTTAGAGCAGAAAGGAGAAAATAGATCACCATCATCTGTTTGGTAAAGATATTTTTCACTTAAATGGTAACTTTTTTTGCTTTACTCTGACTCTTAAGTATTCTAATAATAAAAACAAAATAAAACCTTATACTTGTATATTACATTGGATCTCTTAGGAGTTTGTAGGTCTAGAATAAATGATATTCATTCCCACTGAAAGAGATCCTACTCAGAAATGCTGGCATTATTAAAATATAATTAATATTTTCAGTATTCCCTTGGATTGTGTTTATGAAAGCATGTTTAAGAGCATTAACTATTAGTGCCGCTTAGGGTAATAAGATATATATAAATTCTGTATACATTTAAAAGACTAAGAATAAAAAAAGAACATTTCTAAAATGTTATTTTTATCTTATTTAAATATTATTTATCTTATGTAATTTAAAAAATCTTATCCAGCTAATGTAGAAGTAGTGATTGTAGTAAAAGCAACATGGTATGGGAAGGAAGACAAAAAATATTCTGGCTAGTACAGGTAAGCCAACTATCAAGTAAAATATTTGTTGATGATCATAAGTGTTTTTCTCTTTTAGAAATTCTTGTTTTAAAAAGAGATGACTCATAAAAGATGAAATAAATTTAATCAAATTGATTTTTTAAAGAACTGAGCTTGTTGGCAAATGAAATAATGGTTTCAGTAGAGAAGCATTTAATAATTTTGTCTTTTTGAAATTTTTTTCAGAGTGCTTATGCCCTACCAACCATGGCTTTTTCATTTCTCTGCCATACCTCAGTATTACCCATATACTGTGAACTTCAAAGGTACTGTAGAGTCCTGGAATATTTTAACTATATTGTGTATCTTTTTACCTCTAGGGCTTTCAGATTGAATGACATTCTCTTTTATTAATGCTTTTCTCTTATCAGTGGATTCTAAGTGTTAGTTTAAAACAAAACAACCAAGAATTAGTTCTGTTCAAGTTGAGAATGTTTCCTAGAAGTGTAATCTTTGAAGCCGGGCATGGTGGCTCATGCCTGTAATCCCAACACTTTGGGAGGCCGAGATGGGTGAATCACCTGAGGTCAGGAGTTCAAGACAAGCCTGGCCACCATGATAAAGCCCCGTCTTTACTAAAAAATACAAAAAAATTAGCCAGTTGTGGTGTCGGGCGCCTGTAATCCCAGTTACTCATGAGGCTGAGGCAGGAGAATAGCTTGAACCAGGAGGTGGAATTCACAGTAAGCCAAGATCATGCTATTGCACTGCTGCCTGGGTGACAGAGCGAGACTGCCTCAAGAAGAAGAAGGAGAAGAAGAATGAAGAGAAGAAGAGTAATCTTTGTGTACTAATTTCAAATGATGAATTCTATTATATGCTTACTGATGAAGTGGGCTTAAATGATTGAGGAATTCTCTTGACTAGCTTGGGAGATTAGGAATTCTCTTGACTAGCTTGCTGCTTTAGATATAATTCACATCACATATTCTACCTTTGCCGTTTTTGTCTTTTAGTCCTTCAAAGAAAAGAATGCAGAATGTTACCAATACAGCAATTGCTTTAAGTTTTCTCATTTATTTTATATCTGCACTCTTTGGGTACCTCACTTTTTATGGTAAGTATATTTTAAAATTATAGATGACAAAATAATAGTTATATAGATAGCCTCACACCAATGTATAGACTTTGTTTATGCCTTTTATTACTAAATTAATTTGTTCAGATCGCCAGATTACAATGCAGTATTGTGGTGCCTCTCGAGGCCTAAAGAATTGGATTATCTTTCTTTTACGAAAGTAGTTCAGGTTTAAGATTAATAACTTCTTATGGAAATTTTCTTAACCACTTAAGGAAAACTTCAGGCTTAGGGGCATTTATTCTTTCTATAAGAAAAAAATGTACAATTTTAATGATTTTGTTTTTCTTAAATTTTGAATTCAGTATACTAGTCTAATTCAAAAATTTGGGGCTTTGGTGAGTCAGTCATCTTAATTGCAAAAGAGCAAGTTGAGAAAGCAAAGGGTTTTACACTGGACTATAGCTGTATACTTAGATGTCAGATGTCTCTGCCTTCAGACCTAATTATTACAGGATTCAGCAGATGTGCATTCTGTGATGCCCCATGACCTTTCTCCTTAGTTTTTTTTTACAGGTTCTTTCAAATTTATGCAACAAAAATAAAATTGTGTTTTTTTTTTTTCTTTTGCAAAACTTACCTGCTTTGTATGTTGATTTTCTTTTTCCTCTTCTGTTAAGAACCTCAGGAAAAAGTAAAGTTCCATGTACACCATCAGGAAAAGCATTATTTCCAGTGTGAGCATGGTGCCTTGCTAGAGACAGTACAAAAAAAGTTACAACAGATTGTCAAGGTTTTCTGATCATCATTAATAAAACAAAATTACTTAAATATATAAACTTTATTTTTGGATATTCGGTTTTTTGTTAGTTTTAATACAGACTTGAACTCAATAAGACTTTTCTGTGTCAATAAGATACTATAACATGGTCTCTTTGGATTCAAAAATATTTTGTATAGCAGCCTAGCTCTGTATTTCTTTTTATTAAAATTGTCACCTGGCACAAACACTGTTATATTTATGGATCTTCAGCAATGAGAAAAAGTCCAAAAACACTGGCCTCCTTCTTCTCTCTATAGATAAATAGAGCTATCTGGAAGAAAACTCAGATGGCTTACCAATATCCAGGCTAACTGAGAAATAGTTATGTGAATCACCATTAGGTGCTTAGAAGCTGTATTAAATTGTAGCTGTATTAGATTGAAAAGGGATGTGGAGGAGGGATGGAAACTACTACATTTATTGAGCTAACATTTAAGAGAGTGTTAGGTATTTTTTATATACTGCCTAACTTAATCCTTATAACAACTCTGCAAGCTCAGTGTAGGTTCATTTAGGTTGAGTAATTAGACCAGATATTGAAGCCAATTAATAATGAAATTGGGATTTGAATCCAGTTTTGTCTGTCTCTAAAGCCAATGCCTTTTTTACTGTGCTGTCTCCTCAGAAATTATGCCATAGAAGCCAGATCCTTTATTCCAAGTTTCTGTTAAGGTGAACTTTTAGAAAAAGGTGACTCACTTAAGCTGTAGGCATCTGTCTATGTCTATATCTATGTATAATCTATCTATCTAACATTATTGCTTGAACACAAAGGCTAAAGATTTTCATCATGTAGATAGCATGTTTCCTAGACAGGGATTTGCCTAGTTATCAGGTAAAGCCATTATGTTGTCTCTGATGTAATCCCTTCTTCACCAATGCAGATTGTTCTGAGTATGCAAATTTTATATAATGGAGAAATATACATCTAAGAAAAATCACATGGTAGGTAGGTATATGATTGATTGATAGGTAGGTAGGTAGGCAGGCATGCAGGCAGGCAGGCAGGCAGGCAGACGGGTGGGTGGATGGATGGATGGATGGATGAATGGATGGATGGATGGATGGATAGATGGATTGATGGATGGATTAGATAGATAGATGATTGATTGATTGATTGATTGATTGAATAAATGAAACAAAAGTGAGTTTTCTCCAAAGACAGAAGAGGCAGATAATGATTTGCTCTTGAATTGTGAATCATAACAAAGAAAAGCCTTTGATCATATCTTTCTATCAGGATAACAGGAGCTTTGTGTGGTTGGAAGAAACTGCTGATTGAACCTGAGGTCTTATCAAGGGCTAGCCTCAACTTAAGGCTTACAATTCATTTAATAGATGAGCAACTAAAGCCCAGAGAGGCTATGTGACCTGTCACAGAATTAAAGGCAGGTTTCCTGAATACTAATCCAGTGTTCTTTCTGCTACTTTGTGATAATCTTTGTAAACTTAATACCGTGTTTGACAATGTGTATTAAACAAGACAGCCTCCTGACTTCAATGGCATATATAACTTGCAGAGATCACCATTAGGTCCTTTCTGAGATTTGTAGAGATTTGTCTGAATCCAGGGAAGCATGCAGTACTCTATCCCTCACATATGTTATGGTTCAGTTAAGAACACAGAGTGACTGGCTCCGAAGAAGGGTTTTCATCCTGGGAAAGTAGACATGTGACATCTATTTTGAATTTGTAATAAATCTAGTTATTCAAGATTCAGGAGCCGCTTTGGATCCTTTTATCCAGAGCTCCCAAAGCTTAGTTACTTTCTAGATTTTGTCAGATAAAAGGGACCTAGAGGTATGTACCTAGATTAGTGATACTTGCTCTGATTACAGATGTGAAAGGAAGAGAAAAGGGTTCCTCTGGTGAGCCAGGCCAATGCCCAAATGTTGCGTAATAACCAGGCCATTTAAAAAGTCTACAAGGTTGTTAAGCCAGAAGTGTTAATAGCTCATTTTATGATTCAGAAAATGGAAATAAAATAGTTTACCATATTTCTCCAAAGACTCACAAGTATCTCACAGATTTGGAAATAGAATCCAGATTTCCTGGCTCTTCTCAGTCTCCTGCGTAGTCCAAATCCCACATTGTGTAAAGTATGTCTTTGATACTTTAGACAATTCATTTCTCTCTTGTTTCCATTATCACTAGTCTAGTTCAGATTCTCTTTACCTCTTAGTGATTGTAACAGTAGCTGTTAGGCCTGTTTGGGGTCTCTTTTTCTTCCAATCCATACTCCTGCTTAGTTCAGATCATAATACCCTGTTCTTTGTAAGTCATTATTGCATTTCTGTGGCCTACCAGATTGAGTCCACACCTCATGCAGAACTGTATTATTAGGTCTGAAATGCATTTCCAGCCCTATAACCCACATCCTCTGTAGTACTTACTAGACCACTTATTTTCTCAGATGCACATTCCCTTTGCTTTCGCTTGCGCTGCTTCTTGCTTCCAGAGAATCTCTTCCCCCACATCTTTGAACATCAGTGCACATGCATTGGCTCATGTAATATGTATCCCTATAGTAACTCTGTAGTTCATAGTAACTCTATAGTTCAGTATATTACCGTTTCCATTTTAAAGATGTAGGAACTGAGAGACTCAGAGAAGTTAAGTTGCTATTAACTGGTGGGATTTGAACATTGTTCTGTGTCATCACAGTTTAGAATCTCCATAGCTCTTGTTTAGAACTCTCTTGCCACTTATATGTGTGTATACACTTTCTGTCATATTTGTGTGTATTCATGTCATCGCTTAAGTTCCCTGAGAACAGAGTTATGTTTTCTTTTGGTTTTGATTACCCTCAAAGTATCCTTTTTAAAACATATGCTCCCAAATCAAAAAGCACCATTCTATGTTAAATACAAACTGATATTTTCCCACAAAACACTGATACACAGTGTTTCTGAGTCCCCTCACTCTTCTTACCCCTTGTCTAGGTTGAGGTGAGGGAGATGTTGTGACAATGGAAAAACACTGTGGAGCTAATCTTGGACAGGACGTATAAATCCTATTGCTGACCATCACACACTGGCCTACTAAGAAAGGCATTTCCTTAACACCTCTTTTTGTTCTAAAACATGAATCCACAGATAAAATGTAACATGCACCAAACTCTATGAGATTCTAGAAAACATTGTGGTATTGAGGTAAAGATACTGGCTTTAGCACCAAAAAGTGGTAGATGCATGGCTCTGCCCCTATGTGTTATGTGATCTTAGGCAAATAATTTAATACTTTTGGACCTACCTGCATATTAATGTTGTTATCATAGGGATCAAATTCAACAACACATGTGAAAGCACTTTATAAACAAACAGCAGAAATGTTCAAACTCTTAGATTATGGAAAAGTTCTAAAGAGATATTTTAATATATATATTCATTGTCATGTTATAATTTTAGAGGTTCTGCTTATTCCGGTTTTTATTGAAAGAAAAAAGGTGCTAGATTTCAATAAAATATTTAATTAATGTGTCTGTTTCATAGGATAGGGGAAAGGCCAGGATTTGGTCATGGGAATCTAAAATCTGTTATCATCCATTAGTGCAAAGGAAAACAATTTTGTTGCTATTGACATCTTAGTACTTTATAATGTGATCCTTCTTCTTCTTCTTTTATTTACAGACAAAGTAGAGTCAGAATTACTAAAAGGTTATAGTAAATACATACCACATGATGTTGTTGTTATGACTGTGAAGTTATGCATATTATTTGCTGTGCTTTTGACAGTCCCTGTAATCCACTTCCCTGTAAGTATTCTTAAATGGTTTTTTTTTGTTGCTTAGTATAGCTGCTTCCTAATAGGGCAACACTAATTCTTTGCAGAATAGAATGTTTGAGTCACATCTAGTCTTGTATATTTTATTCGCTTGTCAAGTAATTGATCAAAGACTTCATACTTGCATATGGCTCCATGAAAGCATAAAAATAACAGTGAGCCACTAAGCTAATTTGTGCTTTTTTAGATTTAGTTTATTTAGATTTATGTTCTCCCACAGCATTGTTTCCAATTTAGAAACTATAGTTCTTTTAAAGTTTTTGGTATTTCCCCCCTTTAATTCTGTGTCAACCCCCACCTTTAATTCTGTTTTCAAAAAAATGTGCAAGAAAAGTCAAGTCAGCAAAAATAAGCTCCTTCTAGTTTATTGTAAATTTATTTTCACACAGGCATTCTAGTTCAATCTTGGTCAAAACATTTTATTTGCTCTAGAATTGTAATTTAAGGGGCAGAACAGATTTCTGAGAAAATGGGAACAAAGGCTTTGGATATAAATGCATCTGTATGGATTTTCTCTAACGCTGAGTTTTGTAAGAACTGAGGCTTCAAGCCTCCTCCCTGTTTGGGCTACAGTGCCAAGATTACAGCAGGGACTGGATAAATTTTTGTGGGATGTGACTGCCTGCTGTCCCTTTAGCAGTGGGAAGTATAATTAACTATTTTTTCATATTTACAGGCTGTGAAACATATATAAAATAAAATAGTAAGTGGTGTTTCTTTCCCATGCCATGATTTCTTTTTCTATTATAAATTATTTTTTTATCTGTTGAATTTAATGAAAATGATTCTTTGAGATTTTTTATATTTTTATTGCTGGTAATTTAAAAAATTATGCAACCTAAAAAATTGCATGTGAAAATTTTTTCTAGCATTTAAGCTAAATAATTTTTATGAAGCTTACATGGAAAGGTTTAGTGTATAAACAGTTTTTGTGTATGTACACTTTATAATAATAGTTTATACTGCATTTTTGGAATCTAAATGATGTAGGAGGCAAAAATATTATGGTTATTGTATATGTTTCTCTCAGCAAATATTTTGACTTTGATACTTCCTCTTTGCTAAATGTTTCTTTTTCTGTAATACAGGCCAGAAAAGCTGTAATGATGATGTTTTTCTCCAATTTTCCATTCTCATGGATTTGCCATTTTTTTATCACTCTGGCACTCAATATTATCATCGTTTTGCTTGCAATATATGTTCCTGACATTAGAAGTGTGTTTGGTGTAGTTGGTAAGTTTTCTGCTTCAAAAAGTTTACATAATAAAATTGATTAAATTGTTACCCAGCCTCATATGTGAATCCAGCAGTATCCTCTCTTTTTTTCTCTCCGATTTAAAGGTGCCAGTACATCAACATGTTTGATTTTTATATTCCCAGGACTATTTTATCTTAAACTTAGCAGAGAGGATTTTCTCTCATGGAAAAAGTTTGGGGTAGGTTGTTTTTGTTTCCTTCTTTAAGATTTATTTTTAAGAAATAGTTTGTCAGTTTATATTATTTTACCTACATCAAGAAAGTCAATATATTACAAAATATAAAATACATCATTGCGGAGTATGGAAGTTTAACAAATACGCTGATTGTATTGTTTGTCTTTTTTTCTTATTTCCACAGGCATTTGTTTTGCTCATCTCTGGAATTTTGGTTGGGAATTTTAGTTTAGCATTCATCATTTTTGATTGGATTAATAAATAAAAGAAATATTTTCCTACTTACAAAGAATAATATATCTCTATATGCAACAAGGAATTATTCTGGAAGACACCCTGGATGAAAAATAATATTTTAATAAAAATTATTAACAGAAAAGCAGAACAAAATGGCAGTAGGTATGGGGAAGTAAGTATAGCAGTTTTAATCAAAATAAGAAACTCGAAATGCTCTTAAACGTATTGGGCCATTCTTTTGTTTTTCAAATTACTATTTTTAATGGTAGTTTTATATTTGCAGAAATACTGAACAGAAAGTACAGAGTTCACGTATACCTTTTTACCCCCAACATACAGTTTCCCGTATTATTAACTCTTGCGTTTGTGTGGTACTTTTATTACATTTTATGAGCCAACATTAACTATTTTTAACTAAAGTTCATAGTTTACCTTAGGGTTCGTTCTTAGCAACCACTAGCAACCACTGATTTTTTTTTTTAACTTTTATTTTAGGTTTGGGGGTACATGTAAATGTTTATTACATAGGTAAACTTGTGTCACGGGAGTTTGTTATACAGATTATTTCATCACCCAAGTGTTAAGCCCAGTACCCAATAGTTATCTTTTCTGCTCCTCTCCCTCCTCCCACCCTCTATCCAGCACCCCAAGTTGTTTATCCCTTTGAGTTCATAGATTCTTATTTAGTTCTCACATGTAAGTGAAGACATGCAATATTTGGTTTTCTTTTCCTGTGTTAGTTTGCTAAGGATAATAGCCTCTACCTGTGTCCATATTCCTGCAAAAGACATGAGCTCATTCTTTTTTATGGTTGCATAGTATTCCATGGTGTGTATACACCACATTTTCTTTATCCAGTCCATCATTGATGGGTGTATAGGTTGATTCCATGTATTTGCTATTGTGAATAGTGCTACAGTGAACATTTATGTGTATGTGTCTTTATGGTAGAATAATTTATGTTCTTTGGGGTGTATACCCAGCAATGGGATTGCTGGGATGAATGGTAGTTTTGCTTTTAGCTGTTTGAAGAATCACCATACTGCTTTCCACAATTGTTGAACTAATTTACACTCCCACCAACAGTGTATAAATTTTCCCTTTTGTCCACAACTTCACCAGCATCTATTGTTTTTTGATATTTAAATAATGGCTATTCTGACTGGTGCGAGATGATATCTCCTTGTGGTTTTGATTTGCATTTCTCTAATGATCCGTAATATTGAGCTTTTTTTTTTTAATTTGCTTGTTGGGTGGCATGTATGTCTTTTTTTAAGAGGTGTCTGTTCATGTCCTTTGCCCACTTTTTAATGCAATTTTTTTTTTCTTATAAATTTGTTTAAGTTCCTCATAGATGCTGGATATTAGACCTTTGTTGGATGTATAGTTTGCAGATATTTTCTCCTATTCTGTAGGCTGTTTACTCTGATGATAGTTTTTTGTTGCTGTTGTTGTTTTTTTGTTTTTTTGCTGTGCAGAAACTCTTAAATTTAATTAGATCTCATCTGTCAGTTAATTTTTGCTTTTGTTGTGATTGCTTGGTGTCTTTGTCATGAAATGTTTGCCCATTCCTATATCCGGGATGGTATTGCCTAGCTTGTCTTCCAGGGTTTTTATAGTTTTGGGTTTTACATTGAAGTTTTTAATCCGTTTTGAATTGATTTTTATATATGGTATAAGGGAGGAGTCCAGCTTCAATCTTCAGCATACGGCTAGCTAGTTATTTTAGCACCATTTATTGAATAGTGAGTCTTTTCCCATTGCTTGTTTTTATAAGCTGTGTCAAAGATCAGATGGTTATAGGAGATAAGAGACCAGACTTATTTCTGGTCTCTTTATTCTGTTCCATTGGTCTATGTGCCTGTTTTTATACCAGTGTCATGCTGTTTTAGTTCTTGTAGTATAGTTTGAAGTGGGTTAATATGATGCGTCCAGCTTTGTTCTTTTTGCTTCGGATTGCCTTGGCTATTCAGGCCCTTTTTTGGTTTCATATAAACTTTTAAATAGTTATATATAGTTCTGTGAAGAATGTCATTGGTAGTTTGATAGGAATAGCATTGAATCTGTAAATTGCTTTGGGAAACATGGCCATTTTAATGATATTGATTCTTCCTATCCATGAGCATGGAATGTTTTTCCATTTGTTTGTGTCTTCTCTGATTTCTTTAAGCAGGGTTTTATCATTCTCATTGTAGAAGTCTTTCACCTCCCTGGTTAGCTGTATTTCCCAGGTATTTTATTCTTTTTGTGGCAATTGTGAATGGGATTGCCTGATTTGGCTCTCAGTTTGGCTATTGGTGGTATATAGGAATGCTACTAATTTCTGTACATTGATTTTATGTCCTGAAACTTTGCTGAAGTTATCAGCTAAAAGAGTTTTTGGGCAGAGACTATGGGGTTTTCTACATATAGAATCGTGTCATCTCCAAACAGATAGTTTGACTTCCTCTCTTCCTGTTTGGATGTCCTTTCTTTTTTTCTCTTGCCTGACTGCTCTGGCTAGGACTTCCAGTATATGTTGAATACGAGTGGCAAGAGAGAGTAGCCTCATCTTTTGCCAGTTTTCAAGGGAAATGCTTCTAGCTTTTGTCCATTCAGTATAATGTTGGCTGTGGGTTTGTCATGGATGCCTCTTATGATTCTGAGGTATGTTCCTGCAATACCTAGTTTGTTGAGAGTTTTTAACATGAAGGGGTGTTGAATTTTATTGAAAGCCTTTTCTGCATCTATTAAGATAATCATGTAGTTTTTGTCTTTAGTTCTGTTTTTGTGATGAATCACATTTATTGATTTGCATATGTTGAACCAACCTTGTATCCCATATAAAGTGTACTTGATCATGGTGGATTAACTTTTAATGTGTTGTTGGATTCAGTTTGCAAGTATTTAGTTGAGGATTTTTACATCAATGTTAATCAAGAATATTGATTTGAAGTTTTCTTTTTCATTGTGTCTCTGCCAGGCTTTAGTAACAAGGTGATGCTGACCTCATAGAATGAGTTGAGGAGGAGTCCCACCCCCTCAATGTTTTTGGAGTAGTTTCTGTAGGACTAGTACCTGCTCTTCTTTGTACATCTCCACTGATCATTTTACTGTCTCCATAGTTTTGTCTTTTCTAAAATGTCATATGCTTGCAATCATGTAGTATGTATCATTTTCAGACTGGCTTCTTTCATTTAGCAATATGCAATTAAGTTTCTTCTATGTCTTTTTGTGGCTTGATAGCTCCTTAGTATTCCATTGTATGGATGTACCACTGTTTGTTTATCCATTCACCTGTTGAAAGACCTCTTGGTTGCTTTCAAGTTTTTACAGTTGCACATAAAGCTGCTCTAAGCATTTGTGTGCAGGTTTTTGTTTTTCATTTTTTCTTTTTTTTGAAACGGAGTCTTACTCTGTCACCCAAGTTGGAGTGCAGTGGCATGATCTTGGCTCACTACAACCTCCACCTCCCAGGTTCAAACGATTCTTGTGCCTTAGCCTCCAAAGTAGCTGGGATTACAGGTGCCCACCACTACGACCAGCTAAATTTTATGTTTTTAGTAGAGACAGGATTTCACCATGTTGGTTATGCTGATCCCGAACTCCCACTCTCAGGTAATCTGCCCACCTCAGCCTCCCAAAGTACTGGGATCACAGACGTGAGCCACTGTGCCTGACCCCTGCACAGGTTTTTATGTAGACATAATGTTCAGCTTATTTGGGTAAATACCATGAGCACAGTTGCTACATTGTATAGAATATATTTAGTTTTATGAGAAATTGCCAAGCTACCTTCCAAAATGGCTGTAACATTTCATATTCCAGACAGCAGTACAGCAGTTTCTGTTCTCTTACATCCTCACCAGCATTTGGTGGTGTCAGTGTTTTAGATTTTCACCATTCTAATTGGCATGCACTGATATCTCGTTGTTTTAGTTTGCAGTTCCCTATTATGATATTGAGGATCTTTTCATATGGATCTTTGCCATCTATTTTTTTTTTTCTTTGATGGGGTATCTGTTTAACTTAACTCTCTTTTGCCTTTTTTTTTTTTTTTTTTAAGGCTGGTCTTGCTATGTTGCCGCAGCTAAATTTCAATTCCTGGGCTCAAGCGATTCTAGTGCCTCAGCATACTGAGTACTACTGAAACTGCAGGCATACACCACCATTTTTTATTTGTTTTCTCATTGTTGACTTTTAAGCATTCTTTGTATATTTTATATTTCTGTTCTTTTTTTTTTTTTGAGACAGAGTCTCACTTTTGTCTCCCAGGCTGTGGTGTAATCTTGGCTCACTGCAACCTCTGCCTCCCCGGTTCAATCAATTCTAGTACCTTAGCCTCCCAAGTAGCTGGAATTACAGGTGCACACCACCATGCCCAGCTAATTTTTGTATTTTTAGTAGAGACAGGTTTTACCATGTTAGCAAGGCTGATTGCAAACTCCTGACCTCAAGTGATCGCCCACCTCAGCCTCCCAAAGTGCTGAGATTACAGACGTAAGCCACCATGCCTGGCCAGTTTCTGTTCTTTATATGTGTTTTGCAAATATTTTTCCCCCATTTTGTGGCTTGCTGTTTTATTCTTTTAACAGTGTCTTTCAAAGAGCAGAAGTATTTAAATGTTCTTAAATATATTGGTTCAATCTTTTATTTTAAGAAATCAGTGTATTAAATTTATGTACACAGTTGATTCTTAGCTGTGGGTTAATGTTGTCAGCATCAGTCACTAATAAGAGATTGTTCTACTTGGTGTTTTGCCCTGCCTCTAAATCCTATCTAAAAACTTTTATAATTTTCCACTACTGTTCATTATGCAGTAGACCTGTGATGACTGGCTGTGTACTTGAAAGTCCTTTCTCTGAGTTTTCTTAGTTGGTCACTAAAACATGCAACATTCTGCTTGACAAACAGGGACAAAATATTGATCATTTCTATAATATTTTGTTTGGAGTTCATAAATCATTGCAACTTCTCATCGACGTGGCTTATTTCTGGTTAGGAACCAGAAGTTAGGACTCTCCTCCCATGAGTATTCCACATAAAGGGCACATTGTTAGTAGCCTACC